CCCGCCCGTCCTGAGAAAGCACAGGCTCCGCCCTCCAAACGGGAGGTAGGCTCTGAGTGAGCTGCCCTTCCTCCGCCATCTCAGGGAGGGAGGGGGAGACAGACGTGCGCCCTGATAGCGACAGGAATAAACTTTTATTCATGATGGAGATACAGCGCGTTCAGCCACATGTGTTGGACCCGGAATCGGACGAGGACTTTGAGGAGCACGAAGCTCAAGCACCGCGTCCACATCAGCTGAACATTACTGATTGGTAAAGTATTAATAAACACTAGTAGATAAACTTATTATATCGTGTTCACTGCAGTCGGGGCGGAGGAGGTGTTAACTTGGAAACTACCGCTTCATGACATCACAAGGTGTAACAGAGCATTTTGAGGTTTGAAGATGTAGATAATAATAAAGAGTTATTCAAACCTGTGCGAATGAAACAAAACACAACTCCAGGTGTTTTTGAGGAGAAAACAACATTATAACACAACTTAAACCTCATCAGAATTCTGCAGAATACAGGACTAAGACAGGACAAGCCCTGTAATATACAGAATTCTGATGAGGTTTAAGTGATGTTATAATGTTGTTTCCTTCTCAAAAACACCTGGAGTTGTGTTTTGTTTCATTCACCTGTTTAAGTAACTCTTTATTATTCGTCTGTCTACATCTCCAAAGCTCAAAACTCTCTGTTCCACCTTGTGATGTCATGAAGCTGTAGTTTCCAAGTTAACACCTCCTTAATTGATTGATTGTATTTGATTGACCTCTATTAACTCTCAGCTCTTCTTCCTGGAGACCTATGTAGCATGTTTTGGGTTTGGCATGGAGACAAGCATTTGATGGACCCTCCACCGGAAAAGTGACACAATGCATCTTTAAGGCAGCTGGTGGTTGTGGAGGAAAGAAACTTAGCTATTTAAAGTAAGTAAAGTAAGCTGTTGATACTGAGCATTAACATCGCGCAGGGGGGTGTCATACATGTATCTCTACAAACAGTTGTAAATCATAAAATTGTGAAATGAGTGTGTAATTAAGGAAAATTGTTCCACACTCTGCCAGTTTACGACTAAAATGTGAGTCAGTATAGTCACATTTACTTTGTGTTTTGGTCGTTTTTAAGCAGCTTTTACGGAAACAAATGAAGATGTGTGCCTTTCTTTACTGTTGGCAGGGATCAAAATGGTCAAAAAACGAGGACATTTCTTAAATAAACTGGGACAAATCTGCGGTTTTGTGTAAATCTGCTGGGACAGGGGACACGAAGCTCAAAACTGGGATTGTCCCGAGTAAACACTACATTCCACCACATTTTCACGCCAAAAAAACGCCCTCTGTAAGGTCAACTTCGTGCCGACGCTGCTGGATTTTCCCTGTAACTCCAACAACAAAGCCTATTTTTTTCCCGGCGTTCGTGGAAGCCCAGCTGCCTTAAGCCCTGACGGTGACACGGGTTTCTCTGCGGCGCTCGGAGCTGTGGTGACAGATGCCGTTTTTAGCCGGTCCCTGAAATGACTGTAATTTGGAACACAGGAAAAGGCCGTTAGCTGCGCCGTTAATGGCTGCTATTACCACAGCTCTGGGTGTCAGTCATCACCGCGGACACCTGCGGGAGATTAGCCTGGCTAGCATACAACATCTGAGCTAAAGAGGCTAAAGGAGGAGAGTTAAAGCGGCGTTTATAAAAAGTCTGCTGTAAAAACATGGAGATTTGTTTGATTTAAAGCCCCTGTGTTACGCCGGATTGACTCTTGTGAGCGTCAAGTCGTGTTAGAATGTTGTTACCTCGTTAAAAATAAACTTGGAGTTGTGTTTTGTTTCATTTACACGTTTGAGTAACTCTTTATTTTCCGTCTGTCTACATCTATAAAGGTCAAAATGCTCTGTTCCACCTTGTGATGTCATGAAGTGTTAGTTTTCAAGTTTACGTTCCTTTTACCTTTAGACCGCGTTTACACTGAAACAAATCCGCGTATCACCGTATCGGAAACGTATCTGCGTCCACAAACGTCGTTTCTGTGTCCACAATCGTTCTCTAGCCACACGGCTTTGAGCACATTTGTTTACGTTTTACAGAAACTAAACTTAAAACCACATGGCTCATTTGCATAAACTAAAAGAGGGATGTTCTGCTGATGGTGAGTCTGTTCTGTGTTTCTGTCGTGTTGGAGATGGTTCATGTTAAACTTTTCAGAGATTATACGTCTGCAGGTCGTACACACAGACACACGTTTATGTGAATGACAGATATTCTAGCCCATGTATGTCCAAACTATTTCCCGTGGGCCAAATGCGGCCCTCAGACAAATTTTTCTTGGCCCTCGAGCTTCCAGGAGAATTGGCCCAAATCACCTTGTAGCAATGAAAAATTAACTTTTTTGGGGGAAAATTTACCTTGATAAAGCCAATATTTAATATTTAGTGTGTAGTTTTAAGGATCTTAGCATAACTAAAGACTGATGGTTCATTCTTACATGTTAAACGTGCACATCCTTCAATTATTCACTGTATTGAGCAACAGTCTACGGCCGTCGATCAACCTCTGCTTCGTCTGTGTTTAGATATGTGGCCCTTAATGAAAAAAGTTTGGACACCCCTGTTCTAGCCTCTTAGTGTTTTGGAGGTGAATTACTTCTCGGTGCACAGACCTACATCAGAGTATCAGTGTTTTCAGGCGTCCACACAGTACCGGATCAGATCTGTACTCAAATGAATCCGTGGGAGCTGGAGGCACCAGATCTTTATGTCTCTGGAGCCGTTTTCCATCGGATTAGTGTAAACGAACACTGCATCCACAACGAAAACAACTCAAATATGAACTAGTGAGGACGAGACCTTAGTTTAGTAAAAATTGGAAATTCCAGGGCTTAACTGGTCACATTTTTTACGTACAGCAGCTTTTCCACCACATTTGTAAACAAGTGTTGTTAGGCTGAGGAGCGGGGGGAGCGCGCGGACATTTCGTTCGCTAGGAGCAGGGAGCGCAGAAGAGAGGAGAGAGGAGAGGGAGCGGTGCGCGGAATTCCGGTAGAAGTGAGGAGAAGGGGGAAGAGCGGAAACAGCGGGAGAGGACAGGAAAGGGGGAGAAGTCGCGGAGATTCATGGATGAACACAACACGCAGCAGCAAGCGGACTCTTTTCTTTGCCTTGAAATTACGTTTTCAGCATAGGATATCGCTTGTCCTGACGTTTGACAGCTCTTGGAAATAAGTACATAATAAGCAGAAGTGTCAGCGACCAATGGTCAGTCTTTAGACCCTGCGTCTGGCTGGAATGAATCTACAAGAATCACCTAAGTTTGGCTTCGCTGCTTTTCCCCTTGTCTTCTTCTTTCAGCGACCTCAAAAACGGACTTTCTTTTGTGGCGAACTGCTCCTAGATTCTTGTCCATTGCAACAAACTTGTGAACTGCAGGAAGTATAGGTCAAAAAACCGCTAAGAACTGTTGCGTTGGTGGAGTAAACAGCGTCTGTGCGTCTTGCGTCTGTGGATGTGTGACAGTCGTGTAAACCACGTACCGGCGGCGAGCAGGTCAGTTACGCTAGAAACGTAGGGAGTTTGATTGATAGCCTGTCAGCTACAGGCCTGTCGTTAAGGCAAATGTTTAGGGCCCCACCGTCGAATGAATTTTTATTCTCTTTTTTTGTCTTCATACAGGCTGCACCTCTATATCATCATTGACAACTGAAACAAAAAACAAAAAAAAAATGTCACATTTTTATACAGCGCTTTTCCACCTTCAAGGCTCTGAGCGCTTTATATCAAGGAACCACTCACCCAATCGCACTCATTCATACAGCAGTGTGCACAGACACTGGGGGCGAGGTGGGTTAATTGTCTTGCCCAAGGACACAACAACAGCATTCATCTGTGGGAGCTAGAATCACACCAGTCAACCTGTGGGTCAGTGAACAACAGTGCGACCGTCGCCCTTTCGGCTTAAATGATCCAAATGAACCTAATAAAGGTGTGTGGAGTTTAAAAACACAATGGAGCACTTCCTGTTTTTTCACATGACATCACAAGACGCAGGGTTTGTGTGTTAAAATGTGTGAATGAAATAAAAAAAAAACACAACTCATGTTTGTGATGAGAAAACTACATTATAACAGATCAGAAAATGGTGTAACATGAGCCTTTTGTTAATGTTTTTGTTTATATAAATGATGTGGTGGAAGTACTCTGTTCCGTTACTAAAGTAAAAGTACAAATACCAGAGGAAAAAAAAAAAAAAAGAAGTAGATTTGTTTTTCTTGTGACACTTTTACGTAACCTCCTTGGACCTGGCGTGGACATATACGTCCAACACGTTTTGGGCTGTTCAGGCACTTAATACTTTTTGCAAATCTTTATTCAATTGTGACTTTATTGTGTTCCATCAAAATGAATAAAACATAAAATGTATGTTATATATTTCATTATGTGGACATAGTTTTTGTCAGAAACTACATCATGTAAAAATATAATTCTTTGTTATTGTACTCACCAGGTCCCAAAACCTTTTCCAAAATGTACTTAAAGAGTAAAAAATACATATTTTAAGTATTTCACACATATTCTGAGATCTAATAACACTTCAAATATACTGATTTGATAAAGATTTGTTCAGAATTTTTCTAGCTGTTTATTTTTTGTATATTTTAGTTTGCTCAGGTTTCCCACTCAGACTTTTCAGCAACTCTTAAACTATAATAAAAACACTTATACTTTTCAATCCTATTCAAAAATGTAGTGTAGTAGAAAGTACAGATACCTGCTCTCAAATGTCGTAAAAGTAAGAAGTATCCACTTTAAAATGTACTGTAAGTAACGTACAGATACAGATAATATTAAACTTAAGTACATTACTTTACTACTTACTACTACTTTTTTACGTTCCACCACTGAATGTAAATGAAAATATTACTTCAAATGACTGTTTTTCACAACACAAATGCATGAATGAATGACAGTGAAACCTCAAACCTACCCCCGCCCATTGAATCCACACCAAATATCGTTTTAAATTTTAGCAACACTTTTATTGAAATAAATTCTGTAATAAAAACACATATGAACACTGTACAGGGACGCCCCGGAACACAGGGTCAGGTGAGAGATATGAAAATGTGTGTTAATCGTAGTAGTCTTTGGTTCGAGGAGGTAATACGGATTTTTATAGAACGATTCAGACGTTTTATAGAAAAAAATAATAATGTTGGATTGTCGAGATTTGAGACAAGAACAGACCTTGGTTTCGTTTTAATGTTTACTTTTAATTCAGTTCTGGTTTAGTTTTAAAGCTGAATTGCGTCGCTTTTCTGGCAAATCTCGCTTTTTTTCCCTGGAATGTTCCACGGTACGGCGTTTAATTCGACTGTCGCCACGGAAACGACGAGCGGTCACGAAGCCAGATCTGCGGAGAAGTAGGCAGCCGCTGTGTTTTTGCGGTCGTTTTGAGAAATAAATAAAGCAAAACAGAATGTAACCGAATAAACACACGATATATTTGATTAATGCCGTACTGTGGAACATCCCAGGCAATGACATCACCATGGCAACAAGCACCAGAAAAGTTACGCAGTGCACCTTGGTTTAGTTCTTGATTTAAGACTAATCCTGTTTAGACATATTTAATCCCGAATTATGATGTCTAAATTTAGGTTTAGTCTTTATTTAGTCCTGGTTTAGATCTGGTTTAGTCCCTTTTTAGTCCTGGCTAAGATCCGGTTCAGTCCGTACTTATTATTATCTTGTCTCTTTCTCAAACTCTCTACATTATTATTTGTCAAAACATGAAATTTCTCCAATTCTGTGCTCGATTCTTAACAGATGGGACATTTCCAAACACATTCACACCACACAATAATATTCAAATTAATACAAAACAGCACAAAACATAAAATCGCATTCATAATTACTCATATTTACAAATTTAACGTTGATTGTCTGTTCTCAAAAATGGCCCTCTTATTCCCAAATGTTGTGTTTTAAACGTGACATTAAATAAAGCAGTTCCAAGGCACACCAGGTTTAAGGCAAAAAGTGGAAGTGGCCTGACATTTCCGTGCAAACTTTTGGGTTTTTCAAAATAAAAGCTCGATTGTGTTTTGTTTTGAATGTCTTCAGCTGTACCCTATTTGTTCATAGTGTAGAAAACCTATAGATAAAGTCTTTATTTAACCACAGCTTATTTGTATTGTATGAAACTATTCTATTTTTAATGTCAAAAACTGAAATTTTACTTTAAAAAATTCTACTTTTTTTTTTATATAATAAATTTCCAGACCGAATTTTTGTAAGCAATTTTTTATCCATATTATGTGTTTTTTACAATTTTATTTTTTAAGTTAAATTGTCCTAGAATTTTCTTTTCTGCAGTAAAAAAAAAAAAAAAGTACAATCCTTCTTGCTAGAATTTTTACATTTAAAAATTCAGCAGTGCAAATTTTCTTCTTCTTTTTTTTTTTTTTTTTCCAGACAGAATTTTCATAAGCAATTTTTTATTCATGTATTTTTACAATTTTATTTTTTTTACAATTTTATTTTTTTCAACGCAGTAAAATTTTCAGTAAAAATTTCAAGCTGAAAAATTGAATAGTTTAATTTTAAAAAAATAAATAAATAAAAGCTTTAGTTGACAGTTCTGAATTCATATTTTGTACTTTTCTTCTCGCAAGAAATTTTACATTTCAAAATTCAACAGTGCATTTTTTTTAACATTTTAACAATTTTAACAAATGAAACCCTAATTTCCAGAAACAATTTATAAATTTGTACCACTTCAATTGTATTTTTTAAAGTTAAAATATCCCAGAATTTTCTTTTCTGCAGTACAAACTTCAGTAAACATTTCAGACTGGAAAATAGAACAGTTTTGGTAGGTTTTTTTTTTTTTTTTTTTTTTGAAAATTGTTGTAGAATTTTCATTTCTGCAGTAAAATTTCCGTCAGCAAAATAGAATAGTTTCATAAATAAGCTTGGGTTGAGAAGACTCTGACTTCATATTTTTTTGTACAATCCTTCTCGCTGTTTCCCTGCTGTTCAACTCCCTGACCCGTCTAAAATCACTTCAAAATTGCTTGTGAACACTTCAAATTGGTCCAAGTCTGTCTCCAAAAGCAACAGGTACAAAAGTTCACAGTCTCCGTCAATAAAAGGAAGCAGGAAATAGCACAGAAACACACAAAAAGCTTATCAAATGAACAAAACCAGTGCCACATGTACATTTAAAATTACGAAAATCACATAGAAGTCAAGGATAGACCAATATGGAACCATTTCAAGTCCACTTTTTTAAAATTAATAAACCTTTACAGCAAAAAAATATTAACAATCCTTCAGAATAGTTCATTGATAAATAATTTTTGGCGACCCATTTTTGGTCTATCCCTTTTTTTTTTTTTTTTTTTGTTTGTTTTTTTTGTTAAATCCTTCACGGTGAAAGTGGTAGTGTCCAAGCACATGTACAACGAAAACGACAGAAAATGAAAACAATGGTGAAGCGAAAAAACAAATGGCGGCTTTTGTATAATGAAGAACGTAAAATAAAGAAAAAAAGGGGGTCAGAGGGGTCGGTGAGTGTCAGTGCAGTGGATGGAACAAAAAAACGGTCCTTGGAATGGCTACCACACGCGGTTGGTCCAGTAGATGTTGTGATTGTTGTACACAGGCGCATTAGCGTAGTCGCCTACCTGTTTGTTGGTGTACTTCGGAGCCTTGTAGCTATAATCCGAATATTGATCAGATCCGGTGGAGTTGTTATCCCCTACGAAAGTGTTGGTGGCGGGGAGGTCCTGGACGGCTTGGTGCTTTTTGGACGCGGACGGAGATTGCGGTTGGAGCTGGATGGAAGGGAGGGGCGAATTCGAGCGGTAGTGGCGTCCCAAATCGGGGCTTCCCGGCGGGTAGTTGAGCGGCAAGTGGATCCTGGGGCTGTCGTTGACGTTGTCGTTTATGAGATTGAACTTTAGCCCCTTTTGCAAGCTCGCCTCCTCGTCTTCCTCGAGCGGCTTCGAGGGTTTGGGCGCTTTCCCCTTTTTGGCTTTTTTAGCTTTGTTGTTTTTTGGTCCCTGCTTTGGCGCGTACAAGTCTTTGCTTTCTTTCTTGCCCGGTTGGTACCCGCTCTTGGTGTCCTTTTGTAAACGTTGGCGCACGACGACGACGATCACGATGACCATGGTGACGCCAGCGAGCCCGGCCAGGACGCCGTACATGATGTGCAAGTTGCGTTGCGCTTTGATGTAGTTGGGGTCTCCGGCGATGTCGTGGTCCAGCGGGGTGTACAGGCTGTGTCCAACCAGAGCTTCGATTTGCGATACGTTGGCTTTCGTGTCGTTCACATACACGTGGACTAACGCCGTGGTGTGCCGTTGGGGTTTACCCTTATCGCTAACTTTTACGACCAGACGATGCAGCCCGTTGTGCTTCGCGCTGAACTCTTGCTCCAGCTTGATCTCTCCGGTCGACGGCGAGATTTGGAACAGTCCGTAAGGGTTGCCTCCCGTGATCGTGAAATCCAAATCCGAGTTCAGCCCAGAGTCCATATCCTCCGCTTCTACGACTTCGATGACCGTTTCCGGCGGAGTTCCCCGCTTCAAGAACGTGTACGATGAATTTGCGGGTTTGGTGACGTAGGGAGCGTTGTCGTTCTCGTCCAAAACGTTAATGGTGACGCCGGCGTAGGAAGAGCGAGGCGGGTCTCCGGAATCGACCGCTTTCAGTCGGAAAGTGTACGTGCTTTCCTTCTCGCGGTCGAAGGAAATACTGGACAGAATAGTTCCCGTGCCGTTTTGAATAAAGAATTTTCCGTTATCCGGTTCGACGTACAGCTTAACTCTTGCGTTTTCGCCTTTGTCCGCGTCGGAGACTGTTACCACGCCGACCGGGTTCAGCGGAGGCATGTTTTCGTTGATGGAAAAGCTATAGCTGCTTAGCATGAATTTGGGATCGTTGTCGTTGCGATCCAAGACGTTAATGATGACAGTGGCGGTACCGGTTTTGCTCGGTACGCCTTTATCAGCAGCTGCGACGCAAAATTCGTATCTTTCTATTTCCTCCCTGTCTAAAAGATTTTTAACTGTGATCTCCCCGGTGGTTGTGTCGATTTCAAAAAGCCGACGTGGCCGCCCCGCATCTTCCACAATGCTGTACACGAGTTCCGCATTGATGCCGCTGTCTGCGTCTGTAGCAATAACGTCTAAAACTTTATCCCCCGGTTGGTTTTCTTCAGCAAAGTCCACTTCGAGGACCGCTGGCGAAAACACTGGCGCATTATCGTTAATATCTGTGACTTGTACTCGCAAAGAGTTGGTGCTAGAGAGCGCGGGGTTTCCAGAATCCACCGCCACGATTTCAATACGGTAATCCTTAACACGCTCGAAATCCAGAAGCGTCGTGGTCTGAAGAAAGTATTTCCTCTTGCGATCGTTTGCCGACTCGCTGGCCGGGCGCAGCTGGAAGGGGACGTCGCCGGCAACCACGCAGGTCACCACGGCGTTTTCTCCCTCGTCGCGGTCGGAAACCTGCACCAAAGCGACCGGCGTTCCGATGGGCATGTCTTCGGAAATGTTGGCGACGCCGTTGTCGTGAGTGACAAGTCCGATCCCGCGGATTTCGATGGCGGGCGCGTTGTCGTTCTGGTCCTTGATGATGACGGTGACTAAGACTTTGGAGCTTTTGGAGTTGGGGCCACGGTCTCGGGCGACCACGAAGAATTTAAGGAAGTTCTCCTCCTCGCGGTCGACGGGGCCCTTGACGTAGATGATCCCGGTGGAGCGGTCGATTCGGAGCAGCCTCTGGACGGTGTCGGAGGCCTGGTGGATGGAGTAGTCGATCTCGGCGTTCACTCCACTGTCGGCGTCTGTAGCTCGGACCTGAAAAACACAGAATAAAAATATACCGTTATGAGACTAATTCTGTAAAATACCGTACTATAAGAATATAAGTCGCACTTTTTTTTCATGGTTTGGGTGTTTCCTGGTGCGACTTATATATAAAAATGTTGAGAGTGAAGCGTGGAGAGGTTCTAGTCTTGTGTGTGAGTATCTGCTGCTCCTGTTCCTCCTGTACCACTGTCACTTGGCTCTACTGCGCATGTCTCCTGCAGAAAGAGCCTCTGTCCTGTCTGTATCATGTCAGGTCGATCGCACCGTTACTAAAAATCAAAAATTTAAACAAACTTATGAAGACGACTGAGAAGACTGACCACAAATGCCCCCAAAAAGAAAATCTGATTTTGCAGATTACAAACTGCAAGTCGTGAAATCTGCAGCTGAAAACGGAAATCGAGCAGCAGAAAGAAAGTTTGGAGTGAGAGAGAAACTTGTGGCACCGGGAGGATGCACCGTGAAACTTTCCTGGAAGTCACTGGATGGATCGACAAAGCCTGGACTGAATTTTTTTCTCCCGCAAAGAATTGTAATTTTTAATCTCGTTCCCGTCCACAAGTCCCTCGAGATGGGGACGTTGGCTTTCATAAGCTTTATCAAAGAAAGAAGTGGAAAGAAATTGTCTAAAATGTGCACAAGATTAGACCACATACGCAAATTTAGGCTGCTTAAAGTGTTTTATTAATGCCAAATAAAATATCCAGCACAAATTATGTATGACAGGCAAACATTAATCATTTGTATACTGTATATTTATCATCCCAACCACCCGCTCCCGCAATGAGCTTTCAAAATGTGTCCTATGCCGCACTATTTTGGGTCCCGCGGGGGATTCTAGAGCTCTAACCTGGACTTCAGTGACATCGAAACCATCCTGTCGGGATTCAGAAAGGCCGGAATAATTCGAACTGGAACTGATGCTGAGTCTGACGAGTTGTTCAGAAGTGACACCGAGGATGAAGAATTGAATGGATTTAGTGATTTGGAGTGAGATGGAGAGTTTGTTAAACTTGTTCTGTTCTGTTGTTTGTTATAGTTTATCTGAAGAACTGTTCATATGTGACGTTAACAGTCTGTTGTTCTCTCTTCTACTGTTTTTACTAGAACTTGCCATAGTCATTTTTTTTTTTTGGCCAAATTGTGTACCACTGCTGCATCACCCTGTCTTAGGCTACGTTCAGACTGCAGGGCTTAACGCTCAATTCCGATTTTTTTGTGAAATCCGATGTTTTTTCGAGGTCGTTTCACATTTCCAGTTAAATGTGACTTGTATGTGACTCCAGTGTGAACATTAAACGGCCCAAAAGTGTCCCACATGTGACACTGGAGACACGACGACGTCAACCGCAGCGAGCGTCTCTGTGTTTACAGAAGTTGTCCAAACATGGACGCAGCATCGAGCACCTGGAGATTTTAAAGTTCCTCTCGTACCGGAGCCAGAACATGAACAACTTACTTGTTTTAAGGAGGAGATTGAGAAGGAGAAGGACGAGGTTTTTGGTCGTGGTGTTTTGTGGGACAGCGGCAGCGACGTCCGTTGAAAGGAACGTGTGGATGTGGAGACGGAGCCAAGAGTGGTGAGTGGTGATGTGCTTCACTTCAGTGACACGGAGTTCATTAACAATTTTCACCTACTTCAGCGCAGAATAGTGACGTTTGTGTCTTGTTGATAACGTGTAGGTGGATGAATGCACTTTGACCGTTCACACTGAAGTCACATGTCAAAAGATCAGATATGTATCGGTTTCAGGAGCACATATCCAAGTGTCCTGGGTCACATTTGAAAAAATCGGATCTGTGTGGTTCAGACTGTCAATAAAAGATCAGATACAGGAACACAGAGGCCAAAAATCGGATTTGGGTCACTTCAGGCTGCAGTCTGAACGCTGCCTTATTGCCTTTGTCCTCAGCCTTTCAGAACGCTTATTAGAGTCTAAAATCAGTCTGCCTTAAGTCTAAAATGTGCCTTAGTCATCTCTTTACAATATCAATAAAAAATGTGCTTGCTAAAAAAAAATTAGTTTTTTCTTAATTTTCCGAAAACGTTCAAAACTCTTTAGCTATTAGATTAATGATATGTTGTTTTTTTTCTTCTTCATTACGTGTGTTTTAGCTGTTGCAACTTTTACTCCGGAGCGACTTATAGTCTAAAAAAAGTACGGAAATGGACGGACGCTCCACCGGAAAAGTTACATAACACAGCCTTTAAGTCCTGATTTACAAGTCTCTCCCCCTTGAACAGAAGTATCTCTAGCCCTCCCCTTCACGTCTTCCTCTAAAATAACGCGTTGGGAGTTCGAGGAGGAGCGGAACCGGCAGAAGCAGAATCGCCGACGCAGCAGCCGCACCTGCCCCGTTACGATCAGCTGTTTGATTCATTCACACGGGGGTCCGACCCACTTTCCGCGCTCCGGCGTCACCCATCATCCAGGCGGCTCCACGGACTCCCACATGTGCACACCGCGCACTTTCTCCGTGACAGTGACACAAAAAGGGGGCCAAAGCAGGATCAAGACTAAGCGCGCGCTGGATTTTTGCACCAGAAGAAGAAGAAGGAGTAATAGAAAGAAGGATTTGTTTTGGTGTTCCACCTTGTGATGTCATGTGGTGGTAGTTTTCAAAAATTTCTTTTACCTTCAGAACCAAAACGGAACCAGATCTAAACCAGGTCTAAATCAAGAACTAAACCTGGCCTAGACCAACTACTACTACTGCTACTACTACTACTACTACTACTACTACTACTACTACGACGAGGACTAGTACAACAACTACTACTACTACTAGAATACTACTACTAGTACTAGCACAACAACTACTACTACTAGAATACTACTAATACTACTACTAGGACAAGTACAACAACTACTACTACTTCTAGACTACTACTGCTACTACTACTACTACTACTACTACTACTACTACTACTAGACTACTACTACTACACTACTACTACTACTACTACTACTAGGACAAGTACAACAACTACTACTACTAATAGAATACTACTACTAGTACTAGCACAACTACTACTACTACTACTACTAGCACAACAACTACTACTACTAGAATACTACTAATACTACTACTAGGACAAGTACAACAACTACTACTACTTCTAGACTACTACTACTACACTACTACTACTACTACTACTACTAGGACTAGTACAACAACTACTACTACTAATAGAATACTACTACTAGTACTAGCACACTACTACTACTACTAGTACTACTACTACTACTACTACTACTACTAGACTACTACTACTACTACTACTACTACTACTACTAGACTACTACTACTACTAGGACTAGTACAGCAACAACTACTACTACAGGAATACTACTACTAGTACTAGCACAACAACTATTACTACTTCTGGAATACTACAACTACTACTTGTACTAGAGCAACAACAACTACTACTACAACTACAAGTACTACTACTACTAGAACACTGCTAGTAGTACTAGAACAATAACTACTACTACTAGAATACTACTGTTTCTACTAGTACTAGTACAACAGCAACTACTACTACAACTATTATTACTACTCTAATATTGCTACTATATTAATATTACTACTATTATTACAAACAAAACCAGGGCGAAAACAGGCCTCAAGATTGTAGGATTTTTACACAACAGAAGAAATAGAGCAGTATTTTGGTATTTACTCGTAGCTCAAAGTTGTCCCTGGTTCTAGAGATTTTCCAGTGCTGGAAATACTCATCGTGGAGGTGTTATTTCTTTGCCTGGAGATCTCCGTTTTCAAGCATAAGAAATCGTGTTGTATTATTTAAAAAGAGAGTATAAGGATGATAGAGGAATAACTATTTGTGGCGAAGTAAAACTGAATGAAGTTACAGTCAAATTGAAAGTGATTTCAATTTATGCACAAAAAAGTAAAAAGAAAACAACAAAAAACACCATCAACAGCAATAATTCTTGCCTCAGGACTAGAGATGTAACGATATCCAAATCTAACGGTACGATATTTATTGCGATATTTTGAAGAGGTTGATATAATTGTAGATGGAACACTTTTTTTGTGTTTAACATACACTGACAAGATTTTGGCGTTAATTATTTACGTCATAATCCCAAGAATTCAAGTAAAAAACATATTTTTTTTCATGTTGTGAACCCTGAATCCGTTGGTTAAACGGGCGACTGGCCGTCCTCAGAGCCGCCTGGACTCTCTGGACTCGAGACACTTACAGACAACGTCCCAGAGGATTTTTAAAAACGTCCAACATCCACTAAATTCAGAGTTTTAAAAGGAGCTTTGTTCTGGCTGCTGTCGTACTTATGAATAAACTGTAATCTATTTATCTAAAGATTGTGTGTTTTTAACATATTTAATATTTCTTGTGATTTTAGCCAAGCATGATGGATGAAATTAACAAATTATTTATGGAACAAATCATTCTGCACTAGAGCTCCGTAACACTTTATTTTGTAATTGTGTTTTTATACGTGTTTTTTGCATATAATGTGTGTGGGGAAGCTGGCCCAAGTGTTCGAAGTAGGAGTCAGATGAAACAACGTCCCGTTACCAAAAAATTATTTATTGCATCCTTCACCGAGTTGTGGGCAAAATTAAATTACATATTTACAAAAATAACCGTGCTTAACTAAAGCAAAAGCAACAGAAAGTAACGGAACAAAAGAAAATACCCCACGTGCACCCGGCTGCACTGATGGTGAACCTGTAACTGATTACACTGCCTCTCCTTTTATACAGCCCAGAGAGGAAGTCCCTCCCCCTGGGTTTACACCAACTCGCAGGTAAAATTCTTGCAACTTCCTTGTTTTCCTGGTGTGCTGCCTTTGTTTATCATCCGAGGCCTAAATCCCCCTTTAAACTAAACAGTGCTCCAACTCAACGAGAAACACTAAAACCAAAATTCTCCAAACCAATTTGATAAAACAAAAAGAACCAATTCTGAGGCTTCCCTCCACATGGTCTGGGCC